AACCCGACCCGACCCGACCCGACCCGACCCGAACCAACCCGTCCCGACAAGCGACGGCATCGTGAGGCAGAGGCAGAAAGCTCTCGGTGCCTCTTCTCGTCTGCAAGTTATTGTATCTTGGCCCGTTGCCTGGTCGGGAGGGCAACGCGGTTTATCTGTTATTACTACCTGCCAGTAAATGAGACACATCGGGCCCCGGTACCCTCCTTCCTCACTCACGCTGCTTCAACTTCTCCCGACATCGAAGAACTGCACCCTCATCCTTCTCCTCCTCCTCCTCCTCCTCCTCCTCATCATCATCATCATCATCTTCTTCTTCTTCTTCTTCTTCTTCTCGGTTATAACCTGGAAAAAGTCTGCCAATCGTCAGAACCAACATATCATGCCCAAAATTTTGCCCTACCCCGCTGTCTTGCGATTGCCGTTGCCTCGGCGAGTTTATCAAATTTACCTCCTCTTTTTTCATATAAAAAGCAGGAATACACACATCTGCCATTGTTATTACACGCCGTACTGGTGGGATTACTATTAATTATAATCTGCCTCGCTATCTCTGCACTCTCTGGCACTTTCTCGCCTATCTTCCTTCCACCAACCACACCCTCATCCGGTACCGAGAAGGCAGCCCCAAAGTCATCACTCCGCGCCGAGGCAGAGGCAGCCCAGCCCAGCGCCATGTGTTGCTTGCTTTGCGTGCCGTTCGGCTGGTTTCTCGGCTACGCCTCGGCTCCGATCCTGCTCCCACCCCCTCCGACCAAGCCACCGATCGAGATAGTGCCTCAAAGATCCACCAGAACTGAAAGGGTAGACATCATTAAAAGTCTAAGCCAGACTGTTCAGGCAGTCAGATGGAGCATCTTCTCAGTTGTCGTCCAAAGAGACAGTTAAAAAGTCGTGTACCCTGGGTTCGAGCCCCGAAGATCTTGAAACCGGGTCCAGGGAATGGGGGGCAAACTGTGATTGCGAAGATAAGTTGATTTCCGAGGAATTGCTTGGTCTACATTTTGTAAGAACTTCGAAAGTGAATCCCAACAGAAGATGACGGCGAATTCCTCTTGGTCATCTGTCGATTGGCTTTACTGCAAACTCTTGCTGTGTAAATCTGCTAAGTTTTTCTCCATAATAGGAAGAACATCGACATCATTTGTGAGACCATATTCAAGATACCGAAAAAATAGAACTCACCGGTTAATTCATAAATGATCGAGTAAAGCTAACCGACCTCCATAACCTTTTTTCCCTCGAAATGATTGCGAGTACAAGAAATTTTTATTGTCTGAAGTACAAACGGATCAACCACATTCTTGATAAAACTTCCAGAATATCTCAGTCTAGAGCATGTTCACTTTACTTGAAAATACGCCATAGACTTGCTTACTGTGAAGTAGGAGTATTGAAAATTGTAATCATGGAAAGCATGGAGGTTTATAAAGCAGACTAATTAGTGTGAGATGGGCAAGATCGACCTACGTATATGGTTTTTATGCCAACTTTTTATCCAAATACAAGTATGAGGCTACAGTCAGCTGTTTAGTCCATTCATGTGGGGAATAATGGCCGAATTTCGATGAAATTCATGAATTTTATTGGCTGAAATGCCATCCGCTTATTGTAAACTGTTTAATAACTAAATTCCTGCGACAATCTCATCAGAGGACTACTGTGGATTTGCTTTTGTCTGTTCAGGTTTGTAATATATACTAAGAAAAGTTGGGTTTAGAGGAATCTCTTGTTTCATAATTGTTC